TGTTCCCATCTTTGCAAAAGCAAAATATCTTTAAAAAACATGCAAAATTAGTACAAAAACTTATCTGTACTATACCAATTTTTCATACTTAATGTTAGAAGTTCTCAAATTGATCTGTCCTAAATATTATGTTACGTATTGTAAAGTATTGATCTCCCCAAAGTGAAAATTCAGTAATTATTTACTCACCTTCATGTTGTTCAAAACTTGTATGTTCTATTTTTTTTTCAGTGCTACATGAAGTATTTTTTTTTTAGAATCTTTACACAGCTCCTTCCACACAACTCGTCTGTTCCGAAAAGGCTCAGAAAGAGCCAATGGACACATTAAAAGTAGTCAATATGACTTGTGCGTTATTTTCAAAGTCTTCCGAAGTCATGCAATAGCTATAAGTAAAGAACAGATTCAAATTTATGTGGTTCTTATTTGAAAATCTTCCCTTTTGCCGTAACTTGGCACATCACATTTGGTTTTGAAATCAACACAATGTCTGTAGTATGTATTAAATATCAGTCTGAAAAAAATAACAGCATACAGATTAGGAACAACATAAAGAGCGGCAACAACAATACTACAGCGAGAATAAAAGTTATGCCTTCTTTCTTTGTGTGAACATTTAGGCAGTGTTATGCAAATCTTCCCACACAGTGATGTAAACGTGTTTAAACGAGGCATTTTAGGAGGGCGTGGACAAGTCTTAACTTTTATAAAGAATATCTCTTTGGATTTGAGACTTTAGTCTTTGCAAATTTAGGGATCTTATCTATGCATGAACAGCTTGTAACACTCCAAGAGAAGGGAAAATTTGAAATTGCATCATATGACCCCTTTAAATAATTTCAAATACCAGTATTCAACATTTCATGTTTAAAATATCAAAACATTACTTCTGCATTTGTAACTGCAGGCTAAAGCATTCCATGTCCCTCTAAGCTGCATTAACATGTGTAAATACATCTAAATGCCACTTCATATGCAACTTCTGCAAAGATGAATTTTATTGATACAGACTTCATTTGTTTAGTAACAGCCTAAATGTATTATTATTATAATTGACTGATTAAAAGTAAGAATTTGACTTAAAAGATGATGCACACTTTTAGAAAAAAAATTGCTTTATAAAGGTAAAAATGTCCATAAAAGGTAAACATCAATTTAAACTTATTGGAAAATAATTTAATTTCTATCACTGCTGTGAACGGACCACACAAAATATGAAATATATCAAAAACTTTAGGAGTCAGCTGTCCACGGTAGTCCTCAAGATATCAGCGCAATAACCCACTCTGCAAAATATCGTCTAATTATCTTTATCGATAAAATCCCAGAAAATATTGAGAAATGTACTTAAAACTTTTGTAGCCAAATTGGCTGGTTGGCTGGAATACATTCGATTTCTTCGTAGAGATTCTTGCGTTGTTTTCGTCGGTACACAGTGAACACTGACTACCCAAAAGCTAAACCACGATCTGGGCGTGGCCATTTCGACACTCGTTCAGGATGATTGGCAGGTACCGAGACAGCGAGGCAAGCTGACGCTCTATGGCAAGCCGATTCAACATGTAAAATTAAAACTAAAAAACGTATATATATATTATACATATTTTGCTTAGATAGTAGTAGTAATACAATAGTGACTAGTATCTCATCAGTTAAATAATTTTTCTAGTACTTATAGCAACTAGTTTTTTCTAGTACTGAATAAAAATATCTATTAAAATGTTAATTTCTAGTAAACTTTTAATTGAACTATGAAGTAGTATTTCTACTAGTATATACGACTAAACTTAATAGCGAGGCAAAAAAAATGTTATTACAAAAACTGGGATAGATACTAAAGTTATAGTAACAACTA